GCCCTTCAAATTACGGAAGCTTATAGGCTGCTTAATACCTTAAATGGGCATCACAGTGACATAAGAATAGAATGTAAAAGCTTTTGATATAATGTACTGTAATATTATATAGTACTTGATGTTAAGTGCTTTGAATTGCCACCTAGAGAAGTGCCACATCGACTGTAAATGCATTGCAGGTAGAATTTCACTGACCAATAATTTTCTCATGCTGAAGGGAGACTTGTAAAAAGTCTGGTAGTAAAAATAGCCATAGCCATAGAGACAGTAGCAGTTGGAGACATGCATCATTGCTTCTGTCTCCTTTCGCTTTCCCCACATTCAGGTTGTGGCGGTGTGCTTGTGCGGAGTGAAGATAGGGCCTAAATGAGCACCAACCCTCCCCACTCCTCACCGGGCCGTCACCGAAACTCTCTGCTTCAGTGGACCATGGACACGAGCCCACGCTGCATACTGACGAAGCAGACCTCAGGAGGAGAGGGGGGGAGGGGAGGGCAGGGTAGGGGAGGAGGAGGGGGGCAGCAGAAACAGAAGCATGTACCACTGGGCTCCCCTCGTTGCTCCTGTTGATACATTTTCTCTCGAATTCTGAGTTTCATTTCAGATCACAACATGTTACAGCTCTATAGTAGTTGTGTTGGGGAGAATACTGAAATAAATGTATTCAAACACAACTGGATACCTGCTTTAAACATAAAGTTGATTTCTCTTCTGCTACATGACCCAATCAGACTATTGTAATACTTTCAATACTTGTATATTTATAATTGTACATTTTGTAAAAAAGGCAGCGTAGGAATAGTACCATTGTTTTTGTTAATTTTTGCGGGCAGCACTTGAAACAAAATTTTTATTGTTTTTTGTAATTTCTTAAAATTCTGGAAAAAAACTTCTGCATCCGGTGAGTGTATTCCTGATGATACACCTGCTCTGCAACTAGTAACCACCCTTTGTTATCACCGCAAACGTTCTGCTGTTGTGATTAAGGGCTGTACACAAATATATTGAATTGAAACTCCTAACTGCAATTGGTCATATTCAAATTTATTGTGGAAAAATAGAGCCAATAAAGTCAATAAAGTAAACGACCTAGAGTCCAGATGAAAGGTAGCTTCCCCAGTTTGCATGGAGCCAATCACCATCAACAAACATTAGATCAGAGCAAGACACACACATAAACAAAGGGAAGAGGTTTGAAGGTTTGGCAGCTGGAGCAGATCACACGTGACCAGATTCTGATTATTGATGAACATTTATGTCTTGTTTGACTGTGGATCCTGATCAATGTCTTTATGTATCAAACTGTGGGAAAGTGTATTTTGTTCTGATGTGAGAGTGTGTGAAGCAGAACATGCAGTTAGTCTGTCGTCCACATAAGGAATGAGAGAGAGCTGTACGTGGCACGCACACCATTCGTCTTGTGAACAGTGAGAAACAGAGAAAAACTTTCATGTCTTCATTACACACTGTGCTTTTTTGACACACCTCACCTCACTCATTATATGCAGTGTGGGTGAAGTGTCTCACCGAAGGACTCAGCATTTTTAATTCGGGCGTTCTGCTCTCCCAAAATTCCATCCGATGGGCGGGGGAGCGACTGAATTTTGCGTTGCATTATGGGTAACACTTGCCTTCGCAACTTCCGGTTCTCTCTGCCCGGCGCATTTTCTCTAAATGGTTGAGTGTTTTCGTCATTTTACATTATGCAAATACATTCCCGTCTCTAACTAGTGGCATATCGCGCAAATCATCCGTCCAATTCACATTCTTCCCTCTTAGCTGAACTTAATTCTCATTGTTACCATCTGTCACTCGCACACACAGCCGTTTTCGTTCACTCTGCTCGCTGTCATCTTCTTCTAAATCTTCATAAACACCATCCGCTCGTTGAACTAGCAACAACAATTCCTCCTTTCGTTTTCCCACACTGCAAATACCCTTTCGCTTCAACCTTTCACGCAATTCAGGCACTGTCAATCGTTTGTTGTTTTCGTGAGCCATATTCGCCATTGTATGAAATCAACCGGAAGTGAACTGGGCAACAAACGGTGTCATTTTTTGATCACAGCGCCGCTCAGTGGATGAAATTTTGGGAGAGCAGAACGCCCGAATTGTTAGGTCACATACTGTATATTGTATTCATTTACAAAGAAGTCTGTTCTGCTTTCACATAATATGCGTTTGTATCTTAATTCAACTTTTATTTCTCAAACAAATAGGTCTTACTTTAATCCTTATGTTTTCCACCAGCAAAAAAGTAACACCATTAACAGAAAAAGGATTCACAATAAAATTCAATGAAATAAGCAAATAGTGCTCACTTTGATAAGATGAAAGAAAGTAGAGTCTATTGAGCAGTGCTCATGTTTGGTTGACGTCGCAGTCAGTAGAATACAAAAACATTGATGCTGAGATTGTAATAGAATTCTCTGAGAAACGAGCTGACGAACATGAGCTGCAGTGATGCTTCTGCTGAAGTCACATTGTTGCTAATGGCGACCGGCTGATAACAGGTGTCATGTCTGAAGACCCATAATGCATTTGTGGCGTTACACTGTAGCGGAGGAGGAACCGTCTCCAGCGCAGAGCCGCTCATCATAAAGGCCCCTTTGACATGCTGCATTTTACAAGAGGTCAGAGGTTATGGGAGAAACCGAGGGGAAAAGCAGAAACCCAACACTTTAAATACGTCTCACGTTTCCAGCGATATCTGACACAGAAGGCCTTGTCTGGGGGAGTTTGTAAAAGCATGGAAATCAATTTATATCAACTAAACTAAACTCAAACAACTCAATATCACAAGGAGTTGTTCTGGAGAACATCCTGACACTCAAAAATGTGAATGTTGTGAAAAATTACAAAGATTAGAAGAAAGTATACATTTATTACACAAAGAGTGACATATCTAAAGCCTTTATCTTTTCTCTGTATTATTGTCTTACTTTCAGAAATGAAAATTCACATTATTTGAGATTGTTGTAATTTACCTGGAGGTCATCCAACGTGACACCATGTTACGCGATGGCTCACGATGGTGGAGCAAAGGTAATAACTTGGAATGGTTAAGGTACTTGATGGGAAAGTCCAAAAAAGAATGATAATGCACACCAAAAAGTTCTTCTAAAGCAAAGGAATCAAAACGGAAGAGCATAAAAAACTCCTTGTTTATGATGGCTACTCTGTACTTGATGGAAAGATTCCAGTAGTGACACTGTCAAAGGGAAAGTGGCCCTCTTCATCTGTGGTACTGCTTGGATAAGACGTCAGCAGCAGAAGCAGCTCCCAGAACATATTGATAAAAGAAAAATTGGAAATGACCAAACCAGGGAAATGTGATTCGCAATCATAGACTGTATGTACTGTAGATGGACAATGCTAAACCCCCCCAGCTCACTGAAGCCCAATGGGGAAGTGCTCACGAACAAACTAACATAGAAATGAAAACTCTTCTAGCTCAGTAATCATTTATATCACTTGATATTTTGGGCTTAAACATCTGTGGTAAACTCCAGTGTGTATGGGCAAACTGGAGTTTACCATGCATCATATTGACATCTTCTCCTGCTACGCCGAGTATAACAGAGTCGACAAATAAAGCCCACAGAAAGATGTTTGGCTTCTGATGCTAATTTAGCTGCTTCTTATTAGCTTGTTCCACTATAAAGCAAACACGGTCCGTCCACTCCTTCTACAGTCTGTGTTCGCATTCATATGCTACCACCGTCATTTCCGGACTATACACCACTACTTTTCTGCGGTTTGAATAGTATTTTTTTTTATTGTGGTAGAGTTGTCAGACCAGAGTTTTAAGTCTTAGCTACAGGACACTCATGACAAAAGGAGCCTTGATCCCTTTCTCCATTTATTGTCAAAATCGACTGGTGAACGAGTACCGGTGTGGAAGCTAACGGTTAAGCTGTTAAGCACCTCGCCGTTTAATCATGTGACCATTTAAAACAGTCTGATACACAACATGAAAACCTGTGGCCTAGTTGCGGCCCACAAAATGTATTTTCTTTTCTTTCACTTATACACAGGTCATATACTGTAGTCCAGAAAGAACGGTATTTGGTTCATTTAAATACGTTTTATGTATTTCAAATTGGTTATGAACAATACAACAGCTGACTTGACATTTATACATCCTTAAAAGCCTTTCCTATAAAAAACACTTTTCTCCAGGCTTTCTTTGAACTCCGCCTTGACTTCTAAAAAAAGAACTGCATTGCTTTTGTCAAGAGCACTTTAGGGTAATTGGATTGAGCAAAGACTTCAAATACTATGCGAACCAATCTGAAAAAGACCCCAAAAATTCCCAGTGCTACTTGACGCCTTGGAACATTAAACTACTGCATATAACGTTACATTAGGGCCATATACAGTACAGCCTACTGAGCCTGTGCACAGACATAAAGCTTTCTCTTCAATTAAAGGTTCATATTCAATGTTCTATTCAAGAGATTATCCTGTTTATTATGGTGATATTGTAAACAAAATTGTTTGCAAATAGAAAAAAAAAATTCTGTAGTCTATGCAGGAATGTAATCAGGACCATGACTGCGCGTTCCAGTCCTCAACATTCAATTCAAGATTCAAAATGTATTTGCTACTATTTGCAGTAAAACCACATTGGAAAAACTGTGCAAGACTACCCCAGTGCTCTTGCCACGACGCCATTTTCGGGGCGCCATACGATTGCAAACAGATGAACCAGAAGCCAGCATGTCTGTTGATATGAGTGCCAAATACATATCATTTACTTTTATTGTTAAAAAGTTGGGACTTTTAATAAAAAAGAAAAAAAAAGGTACATTCTCTGGATTTATCAAAATATGAGATCCAGACGAGACAAAGTCAATCAAAGAGTTTCATGGATGGTCAGAAACTATTGGTCACTAAACATCATAGAGTAAAATCCGTTGCACTTCTAAGGGCCGCCCTCTCTGGGAACATGGAGGGGCCGACCAGATTATTTGGTCTTTGCGGCTCATGCGTTCAGTTCAGTCCACGTCCAGATCCAGGTTGATTTCCGTGCTGAGGTTCAGGTAGAAGAAAGCGTAAACACAGAGGACCAAAACCAGGATCGCCAACACCACCAACAGCGCATCCTGCACAGAAGAAAACCAGAGAAACATTTGTAAACAGGAGTTGATGGTAAAATATAAATATATATGTGAATGTTTTTTTTTCTTTTTTGGAAATGAATTCTCTTTGTAAAAAAACTAGAGTCTGACGAAAACCATGCTAACACTGACTAGCCCAATGGTAATAAGCTCACATCATCCTCCAGCCGTCAGCTAAACTATCATACACACGTCATGTATCATTTTAAAGCTTAAGATCCCTAAAATTCAGCTTCGCCGTTAGTTTGAATCTCTGAACCATGTCTTTGTGACCACAGACACATAATGAAGACAAAAGATCGTCATCATGAATGTAGTTTATGGTCAGATCTGTGTCCCAAATCATTTGTTCCCATGTTTTTTACACATGGTTTTACTTCACTATACTGGCTTCCAATGGGCATTACTTGATTTTGAATGGTCTGATTCTCTGATCTGTTGGAATGCTTCAATGCCACATCCCCACCTTTAAATAACGGCTGGAAGTGTCAGTTTGAAAGACAAAAACAGCTCAAACATAGTTCTGTTAATTCACATGCACCGTTACAGAAAGCTAATCACTGACGACAAATAACATGTGTCCGCCCAGTTTTACCGTCTGAACTCTGAAGTTAAACTTTCCTCAACAAATGCCCTATTTTTGGATTGCCATTGGCTAATTGTCAAACAAATTGAGGCTTTGCAGAGGAGTGGCATTCAAGTGTAAAATGGGAATTAGGAGCGCTTGTTCATTATGTGGTGCTCTCACGATTACAATCTTCATCAGCTGGAGTTTCATTAGGCCCACTCAGACTATTGAACAATGCCTGTTATTCTTTATCAAGAGAAGTCGTTAGCCTCAAACTTTCTAATCAGCACTGGAGGGCTTGGAGGACTGTGAAAGAGCACACTGATTGGAGGGTATTCAAAAAGAAATATTCCAGAGATCAGTTTTAACGTGTAAACTGGGCCACGTGAGAACAGCTGCTGTGACAGTGGTCGTCACAGTGACACGGTGGTTGGCGCTTGTGCTTCACAGCAACAAGGTCTTGGGTTCAATTCCACTTCCAAGCGGCCTTTCTGTGTGCAGTTTGCATCTTCTCTCTGTGTCAGTCTCTAGGATTCCTCCGGAGGCTCTCTGGTTTTCCCTACAACTATAACCAACTTTTGTGCTAAATTATATATTATTGGCCCCTTTTAGAGTTCAGCAGAACACATAATAAATTATAACAATAAAATGTCCAAAACTATATCCTCTTGGTTCCTTCACACTTTGTTTGGATTACATGTCTCAGTCCACACTCATTGTTACTAGGGTTCATATTCACAGGTCTACTCATATAGATGGTAGAAATAGAAAAGAACTTGTATGCAGGCGTGGCTCTTAAATCCACAAACTTCTTTCATGCGCTCCCTCTTCCTGCTCCAGTACAGGCCTCCAGGCTACACCACTCCTCACACAGTGCCAGCTCTGAGTCTTCAATAACCACAGTGCTGTCCCAGGATACAGCTACGGCCAAAGCCTCACTTGTTGGGACATTGAGGATGTTTCTTACTTTAGGGGCGAAGTAGTTTCCCTCAGCCTCCTGAATGTCAAGTTTCAGGGTTTCCCCCAACACATATATCCGCAGATAATGTAAATATTGTATTTGAAGTTATTTAATGGCCCCTTTATGACCAGTAATCCACAATGAACATAAGAAATTCCAATCTCATTGTAATAAACGGTTGACTTCTGCCCCTGTTATAGCAGAATGGGCACAGGTCACACACCGGCCCCTACTCACCGGCCCCTACTCACCGGCCCCTACTCACCGGCCCCTACTCACCGGCCCCTACTCACCGGCCCCTACTCACCGGCCCCTACTCACCGGCCCCTACTCACCGGCCCCTACACACCGGCCCCTACACACCGGTTCCTACACACCGGTTCCTACACACCGGTTCCTACACACCGGTTCCTACACACCGGCCCCTGTGCAGTTACGTGTCAGGCAGCTTCATCCCGTTCTTCTCCAATTTATAAACGACATAGGATACGCAGTCTCTACAAGAATAATAGAAATAAAAACTAAAAATCCATCCATCCATTTTCTTCCCCTTAATCCATTTCTGGGTCAGTGGGGTGGCAGTCAGAGCTGCACCCAGTACACATAGCACCAGCCCCTCACTGATCCTCCTGCAGGTAGTGAGTCCACAGGAGCCTTGATCTTCCAGCGGGGGCTTTGGGCAAAGTGGGGTTAAGTGTCTTGCCCAAGGACACAACGACAGCAGTCATCAGTGGGAGTCGTGAAGTAGGTCTTGTGGTGGATTCGAACCTACGACCTTCAGGCCCAAAGGCTGATGCTCTACCAACTGAGCTACTGTCGCCCCAAAAAATCTAAAAATGTAAGCCTGATATTTGAATGGAAAATTGTATCGATTTAAAGGTGTTAAATGTAAACACTTTTTTAATGCATCCAAGGCTCCACTTTAGAAAATAACCAATATTTATTTCAATCCCATAAGCTAGAAAGTACCAGAAGGATTCATCACTGGGAAAAAAAAAACAAGGGGGGGAAAAAGTGTTATTTGAACCATGACAGATAGATACAAAAGGTAATAAAATGTTGCAATGCTATAATTGGATTGTGAAATCAACCCAGCGGCCACACTGCTGCTGGTAAAGAACAAACCAAGTGATAAGAGAGTGGTGGGGAGCGGATAATAATAATAATGCTTTGGTGGGAGACTGGCCTGAGGTGCAGAGGGTGTGTGAGAGGTATCTGCAGCAATGTGGGGACTTAAATCTTCACCACCAAAAACATGTGGACAAAAATCAAGTCAGAAATCATTTGCGCAACAACAAAATTATAAAGCCAGAGAAGGTTAGAATAAGTTTAGGCCAGGCAAGAACTGGAAACCGAAATCTCTCAGAAAACTATTCAAGCTGAGAAAACAATGTAGCCATCAATACAAAGGATAATTACACTTCTGAATCACAGGCTTTATCTACCAGACATCACATTAAATTATATACCTTCAGCTAATTTGCATCTTCTCATTTTTGCACTTTGATTAGACCGACAGCCCTAGCAAAAACCACCTGAATGCGATTCAGAGGTGCAGTATTGCATGTGTTATGAATGTCCTGTTTTGACTCATAAACCGTGTGCGTGTGTGTGGCAATTAAAAGGCTTGTGTACACGTTGTGGTAGCGTGTCGTCAACAGCAGCATTGGTCTTCATTAGCCCGAGCCCCACATTTATCTCCATCCCAACAGCCTCCAAACAGCTTTAAGTCCCGGTTTTAATTGGAAAACTTTTAAATTTCATGCACTTTAGTTTCATATATTACCCGCCAGGCTCACAATGCTTGATTTACTTTTCTACTTTGTCGAAGCTTCAGAGAACACGAATTGTTATCAAATCACCAAAGGCTGATTGTTTTCTGTTTCTTGCATTCTCTCAAGGCTTTGAAAAACATGACAAAGACAATGGTGAGTCTAAGGATGACAACTCTGCCATTGTTGGTAAATAAGTGCAGTTTTGCTCAATGGAGACGAAAACAATAATCAGAGGCAAGAAAAATGAATTCTACGTATTAACCTTCATAAATTACAATTACTTGTACAGTTTACTGCATCTCATTTACATCCATTCAGTACATTCAACTTGATTAGATTTTACATTAACACTACATTAGCTTCACCAACTGCTGGTCTGTGTCATTAGATAAGAAAACATCACAGGGAGTATTCACAAGTAGTATTCGGCGGTATACTTCTGCCTTCGCTCTCTGACGAAGGCGGAAGTATACCGCAAAAACATGTCAGGTATTTAAGCATTACTAGCTGCTTTAAATTTTTTGTAGGTAAAAGAACCTTCTAAGCCCGAGGTCGGGAACCTTTTTAGCTGAGAGAGCCAAAAAAAAGAGTGAGCCACAAGAGTGTGAATGTGTGATTTAAAAACAAGACCAACACATTTATAGTGAGATATTAGTCATGTAATTTTTGTATTCTTTTGTATCTAATTGTCGCCACACGGGTGTGAAGACGGCCCGCGGTCACAAGAGCTTGTTATAAACAAACGTGCCAGAGCAACTGTGTTCTAGTACAACGTTCGGTCCAGCTGGTGGCGCTAATACTAACTTCAGCGACTACCTTGTTGTCCTAGCTGTGTTGTCCTAGTTAAGTCTTCCTGTTTACATTCTGCTACTGTAGCTAACACCTCGAGCACGGATCGCGTTGCTCAATGTGTACAACTGTGAGACGTGTCTTTCCCCAAAGTGCAGCAGCTCAGTGGGACACGTGTGTGTCTGCGTGTGCACGGGATTAAAGAGTGTAAACGCTGAGAAATGAATGAATGAGAATGAAAGAGCGACCGGAGCCAGGCAGGACACAAGTGTGTGTTGGTGTGTTCTGGCGATTAAATAAAGTCTGATTCTTGAACGTCTTAAGTGCCCCTTGACCATGGTCCGGGGCCTTTTATGAAAGGTTTAACACAAGCAGGGAGAATAAAAAAGTATGCGACTGCTGTAGAGACGTGTGTGAAAGTTCACATCACAATGGGCGCAGCCGGAAGACGTAATGTGACGCACAGTATCACGTCCGCACCCCACCTCATCCCCCCACTCCCCACATTGCCCCCCCTCATCTGGGCTTTACAACCGTGCTCAGGCCCACCTCTCCCAAGCGTGCCCAAGCCCACTTCCAGCAACCGTGCCCAAGCCCAGTTTCCGCGGTCACATAGCACCTAAAGCCCGGATCTAATCACAAAGTGGGCCCAAGCCCACTTTAACCGGGCTTTAGGCTGTGCATGAGACTGCAGACTAAGATTTACCTGAGAGCCAGACACAATCATCAAAAGAGCCACATCTGGCTCCCAAGCCATAGGTCCCTGACCCCTGTTCTAAGCCCTAAACATCCATCAATCCATTTTCTACCCCTTAATCCATTTCTGGGTCGGGGGGGTGGCAGTCAGAGCTGCACCCAACTCACATAGCACCAGCCTCTCACTGATCCTCTGCAGGTGTTGGGTCCACAGGAGGATGGCTGCTCGACAAAATTAACTTTCTACATGAGTTCATGAGCTCATATTATCAGCAGAGTTCAGTGAGGTGTGGTCGACACTCTCACCGTTCCTCCGGGTTATTTCCGTAGTCCACATAGTCCAATCTCACTGTTCCTCTATGATATGACCCGTAGTGCACATGGTCCAAACTCACATTTCCTGGTCATGACCCGTAGTGCACGTGTTCTTGTGTGAAGCCACACTGCTGCTGCTGCTGCTGCTGCTGTTTGCTTTGGTTGTGTGAGACAGAGCGAACAGCTGGTTACAACCGCAGTGAAAACAAACTGAAGGGGAATTGGTGAAAACACTTGAGCTGGAGAAAGCACCTGCACTTGATTGAGCTGGTGCTAACGTGAAGTGGCCCGCCGCGACTCCCACTCACACATAGTGGAGCTCCACCATCTTCATCCCCCATCATCCTCTTCATCAGCAGCAGCTGCAGCCCACGCTCGCCATGCTGGGAGCTGGGTCTCTATCACCCTGGCGACGATCCAGGAGACTAGGCTTATCTGGTCCAGTTCTCTTCAAATTTTGGGTTCGTTTGTAAAGGTAAAAGGTAAAAGGTACACTTTGGCAATTGATCCTCTGCATTTGACACATCCTGATGCCGCTAAGGCTTCCGTCAGGAGCAGTGGTCGCCGTAGTAACAGCGCCCGGGGATCCATCTGCAGATGTTGATACTCGGCTTGGTTAGGACTACCGGAGCTGGATGTTACCTATTGTGCATGTTTTTAGTGGTAAGGGAAACCAGAGCACCCCGGAGGAAACCTACGCAGGCAAGGGGAGAACATGCAAACTCCACTCAGAGAGATCCTCTTCCGACCGGGATTCAAAGGACCTTCTTGCTGAGAAGCGAGAGTGCCATCCACTCAGCCACCGTGCTGCTCAGTTTGCATAACTTCCAGAGGTGCTGCTGGAGCGGTGTAGGCGGCGGAAACACAACACGGTGGACCAGAGATGAGGATACAGCGGAGCTCGCAGAACAGATGTTAGCTTACACAGGTGAGTAAAGTAGGACGCAATCAACATAGCAGACAGACATCCAAGTTGTTTATGCTTCTATACTATGATGTTACTGTACTTAATTTATCTGCATTTTTATATTTTAGATATTGACCAAATATTAAAAACAAAACAAAAACAATGTACACACAAAAGAGCACTGTCTCCTGTTAGAGGCGTTGGTCTCTTCTCTATAGACGTATCACTGCTTGAACTGGAGGATATACCATTAAAAATCATCTATTAGGAATGGATTCAATCACTCTCAGATTCTTGAAAAAGCTGACATGTGGATTTGATTACTGTTGTCATAACATACTTTTGTAGCTTTTTCTCCATCTGCAAATATGCCCATTTTAGTGACTGCAGGAACACACAGCGGCGTGAACTATACGCGTGGCATTAAAACAGAACTCCTACACTTCAGCCATGCTCATTATCCGCAGCCTCTGTCTTCTCCTGGGTATATTTTAGAACTTTTCCGACCCCACGTCTAAATTAAACCAAAACAGTGTTGCAAAGAACAGAAGGCTCCAGCACCAATTAGACAAGGGAGCGAGTTTGTTCGGCTGCGTGTGAGTGTGGATCAGTTGATGGTGGAGACTGTGACCTAAGTGCATGGTGCAGACATGTGCGCTCAGGCAACAGCCGACGTGAAACAGCAGCTAATGTAGGAGCAGATAAACATAGCTAACTGTGCCTGTGCACCCTGCAATGTCTATTTCTCTTTCAAACTTGTACTTTGGGTCTTTATGCTAAGTAAGAAAAGGACAGCCTGTTGTAGCATCTGCCACATTCTCCAACAAACAAGTCTGAGGCGTCCAAACAAAAAGAAGAGTCATTGCTGAAAATTAAAATAAAAGATTTAGTATTGAACATTTACATTACTTGCAGGACTATAAAGCGCAACTTTAAATGTAGCTACATTTTACATCATTCTTTAGATTATACACGACAGTATTCATGGCCGTACTTGAATATTGAAATTTTATGGCTCAAAACAAAACAACTGTTTAAACTGAACTCTACATGATTTAAGAGAAAGCGTGGAAAAAACGATCCATGCTTTTATCAGTTCTAGAATTGATTACTGTAATGCCCTTTGATTTGGAGCCCCCCGGTCTTGTTTTAATCGTCTTCAGTTGGTGCAAAATGCTGCAGCTCGCTTTTTAACAAACACACCCAGACGTCAGCACATCACCCCAGTCCTGTATTCTCTACATTGGCTTCCAGTTTTGTTTCGAGTTGATTTTAAAATTTTACTTTTTGTTTTTAAAGCCCTCAAAGGTCTCGCCCCGCCGTACTTGAACTTTTGTCTGTTCGTGACTCAGGCAGACCATTGAGGTCATCCTCTCAACTCCTCCTGGAAGTACCTAGGTCCTTCTCAGTCACTGGACCCGGACGCTGGAACAAGCTGACCCCTGATATGCTTGTCCTCACTGATTTTGGCCTTTTTAAATCCAGGCTCAAAACTTATTTTTTCAGACTGGCTTTTAACACTTTTATCACTCAATAGCAGGTGACACTTTTTAAATTTTAAACTGTTTTATTGTTTTTATGCATAAATGTTTGAATGGATTTTATGTAATTTTATTGTGAAGCACTTAGGTCGCCTTGAGTGTTGTAAAGGGCTCTATAAATAAAATTGATTGATTGAATTTGATCGAAGCACTCTTGTAAATCCAATCAATTTTTTGACAATTGAAACTTTGAATTGCTGAGTTGATAGCACTCTTGCCTCTCAGCAAGAAGGTCCTGGATTCGAATCCCGGTCGGACCCGGGCCTTTCTGAGTGGAGTTTGCAGGTTCTCCCCGTGTCTGCGTAGGTTTCCTCCGGGTACTCCGGTTTCCCCTACCACTAAAAATATGTACAATAGGTCTGGCATGTGCCTCCTGTTCGGCGACCCGAACAGTAACAATAACAATTGTAAACCGCTTTGTGACTCTGGTCTGTGAAAGGCGGTATATAAATAAAGATTACTTACTTACTTACAATAAAAGTCCCATGCTTACTAAAATAATGAATCCATAAACCCAGCAGGAAGCATTAATGAAAATACCATTATCGCTATACAAGCCGCAGAGTTCAAGGCTATATCCACACGAAGACAAAACGCTTATAATTTCAGAAACTTTTTCTGTAAACACGGAGTTAGCTCAGTAAATGTGTGCGTCCATATGAATGTAGTCAATACGCCTGAAAACGCTGTGAAACTATGCCAGACCTGTTGGTGGTGCTGTGACGCAATGACGGGATCAAGCCCAAACTTCCGTGACGGAAACTGGGCATGCGCAGAATTTTGTAAACAGACAACATGGCGAGTGGGCGAGCTGGTACTACATTAGTATGGACGGACGATGAGGTTGAACTGTTGCTTCGGGTCGCACTGGATTACAAAACCAACAAGCTACATTGTTGTTGTCATTATTTTCTGAGTGCGGCGCATGCGTGCTTTAACAAGAGGCGGGGCGATGACGCAAGCGTCTCAGATACATTGCGGAGAGGCAGTAACCACGAAGCGGCATATACGGAGTTTTGAAATCTTTCCACTCTGGGACCTACTTTCAAAAATTTTCGTTTACACCCCCCCAAAACGCCGGCCTCGTATGGACGATACACTGGATTGATAAAGTATTTTTGCGTTTAGGCCTGAGCTTGACTTCGTGTGGACAGGGCCCAAATAAGCGCATAAATTCGAATAAAAGGCCGCCAAGTGTGGCATGTCAATCAAGTTAGCTATTGCTGGTTTGAGTATTAAAGGGGCATTATGGATCTTTTTAAGTTAAAAATGTGGACCTTGCAGTGACCGAGCAGCTGTATGAGTGATCTTCATGGCACCTTTGTTCTCCATTACAGTGGTCTCTCAGATGCTATAGGAATTGTTTGGAATATATTTTTCTTTCTTCTTCTGAGGGACCCCCGCACCAGACAACCTACAAAACAATGTATCCTGGTGCTCTGTAGACACAAACCATGATCTAAATGCACCTTACTGACCACTCATGCAGCCACTGATTACAAGATTAAGAATACAAAATATAGTTGAATCATGCAACTTTTAATGCTAAAAAAGTTGCATGATTCTCCTTTAAAATTATTTATATTGCTAATTTTAATATCAACTGAAAGAAGTCACCAAGTCCTTTCAACTTGTACATCCACGACGGCCGTGCAGAAATCAGAGGTCCGTGTCACAGAGTTAAAACAGTGTCATGGGAACGCCGCCGTGACCAAATAACCATTACATTTGCACTGAATTCCAATCAAACTTGGGGCAAAGAGGTCTAAGTCAGTTTAATATCCTTGTCCCAGGGGTATTTTTAATCCAACCTCGGAAAATTTCCCTCGTCTTGGGTGTGAAAAAAGATGAATTATTCATGAGCAATATCAATATTTCAAGATATGGACTAATCTAATTGGATTAAAGAGGTGCTTAATGAGGCCTTGCGTGTCAAAGAGATGCATATTTAAAAACCTGACCCTGCTGTAAGTTGTTTTTTTCCCCCCAGTTTTTTTTTTTTCTGTGAAACCAATCGAATACATGAATACAGCACATGTGAAAAGGCAAACTACAGTACATTTGTTTTTGTCGTCACTTTCCAGTGCAGAGATTATTGAAAATATTTGTTGTTGATGCTTAATGCACAACCGTTTAATAAAAACGAACCAAGTCATATAAATGTGAAGCACCGATGCCAAAGCCTGTCCAAAAGCAGACTTTTTCAAACTTTTCATTTAGCACCATTTCATAAACAAATGTATAATGTTCTGTTTATTATCTATAACTGAATCCAATTCAAAAATGGCAGTGACTGCTTTTGCATCGAAGATTTTCAGATAAATCCAGTGATCGTACCCTGAATCCAGATGAACTTTTCTTGGCTTCAGCTTTTAACCGTGTGGCCTTGAGGAATGACTTTGTCTTTTTGTAGTCTTGTTTACCTGAAAGACACAATGAAACATTTGAGTTATAACCAGAAGGAGAAAGAGAAACATGTAGAGTTTTTTTATTACCTTTATTTCTAACCTTGGAAATGACAAATCTGTAGAGACATATTTGTCATTCACAAGGTGAGGAAGAAGATTAGATTATTGTGCAATATGTTTTGTAGTCAGTTCAGAAAATGAAAAAAACTATTATATGCAAAATAAGAAAAATCCATTTTTACCTTTTTGAGTGTGTTTGTACACAATTCAATGGCTGTCGAAGCCTGACAGTCCAGGATTTGACAAAAAAACATTTAGTAATTAAAAGTTAATGGCATGTTGGGACAAGAGGAAACCTTTGCTTGTTTTCACACATTTACAAATTCTGCACTTTGTTCCAACATCTCTGAATGCATCAGGTTCAGCTAGAGTGAGATGCTTTATGCACTGGAAATATAATAATAATTTGCTTGCACCAATAAATGATTCAGCTTTCTTTGCTGACATGTTGGCCCAACATAAATCTGCAGCATTAGAAAGAAGAGAATCAGAGGAGGTGTAGTCCCTTTGAGGAAGCATGTTGCAGTAGTGAGTCTCCTACAGCACATTGCTAACTGCTAGCATTGCTAAACTGTGACTGTGACCATGGTGGTGATGTGTTGTTAAAGATCACCGATGCTCTGGTAAACACATGCTGAGTGATTCATAGTAATTACAAATCTATTGCTTTCTCCAGTCAAGACACCACATCTTGTTATTGACACATATTTTCAAGAGTGTTGTCAGGAGTGTGACACAAATACAAGTAGTGTAAAATGGAGCAGAGTCCTGAAACTGCCTTTTGTGCCAGCTGATATGGTAAGAAAATCCCTGAGGCGTCACACATATTCTCCAAATCACGCAGCACGCGCTATTAGTGATGAGTAAAAACCTGCATCTACTAGAGAATTATCTTTTTATGTTGGCATTCATCAAAACATAATACCCCCCACACCATCTGCTGACAATCAATACTTAATTGGTACTAAATTATCACAATTACACAGTATGAGTGAGTGGAGTAGGTGATATGGGGACAATAGCACTTCACGTAGTAGTACTGTGATATTACTAATGATCGTCTGATGCAGACTGTGGCACTAATGCAATCTCTGTCATTTACAGTCTTCAAGCAGCACTGCGTAGTTAAAGTTTACATTATAGTACACTTCACACTTCAACTAAATATCATACAAATGTAAAACATGTATTTGTTAGTGTAATTTCTAGACTTCAGACTTTCCATGATACTGTTGTATCATGGAAAGACATACATTGTTCTTGTGGTAGTGATCTGGTGAATGTCTCCTTCAGGATTTTGCTGCTGAGCAAATTCACCCCATTGTGGATGGGCCAGCACTTGCTCAGGCCCCGGGGAGCACTGGGCTGACACATGACAGCATGTTACGCTTTGTTTTGTTTCTGTGTCTATTTGGCCAAACAGTCGACCAGCACATGGTGTGGAGCGCTGGCATCTGCCCCAGAGCGACGGATGGGACCAGGGGCTGCTGCCACACTCAGGGGAGCGGAGCCCAGCCTCTGCACCAGAGAGGGGCAACAGCACTGATCCTGCACTGATCCTGCATGGAGCTTTACAACTGGCTTTTAAATCAAGAGTGCCCCTTAAGTTGCATTACAACCCATAATGCATTATTGACAACCAAGATTAAAATTATTGTATTCATATTACTAATATAAAGTGGGGAAAACAAGTTTTTGATACACTGCTGATTTGTTTAAAGATAAAACTAAGAGATAAGATTTTACCTTCAAATATTTATTCAAACATCTGTAATTGTTCCTGAAAAGCACCCTTTGGTAAATGTCATGCACCCCTGATTGGGAAACACTGCTTTACAGGACAAGGGTGTTGGATGTTAACACAAAACAGATCCTATTGCAGCTCAGTCCACTGTTGCGACGCAAGCCCCACACTTAAGTTGATGGGACGCACTTATAACACAGATATGTTGGATGTCTGAGTGCTGCCATTTTCAGTTGATTTATTGAGCAGTGGCAATCACGGCTTGAACAAAGTGGCTTACTTACACCTTTAAATATATATGCAGGAACACAATGGCGTTACCTTTTCAGTGGGCAGCGTGGCGTGGCCAATTATAAGCAGCGTAATAATGGTATTTAAAAGAGTGTCAACAGTGGACTTGTGAAGGCCCTCTGACGTGACAAAGCTCTCCAGCAGAGATGATGGTACAGTTCGACACCAGCCGGCAACTGCTGATGTGCCATGAATAGAGCACTCTATTACAATTTCAAATTACCATGTGTGGCCCTCTGCCGCGCCCACAAGCCAAAACCCCATGCCATCTTTGAAGGCTTCATTTTCCTGGCTGACGTCCCTCTCCCTTTCCTGTTTTTACCTATACTGTTAAACAGCGGTTTGCTCAAATTGCCTGATGGCTATTCTTCTGAAAGGAAAGAAAGCTGTAAAAAAGAGGGGCAGGGGGGGAGTGGCTATACAAAATGTCTCTGACACCAGTGTTTTGTTCCTGAATTGATGAGACAACACAGTAAATGAAAAATAGAAATGTGTTGTATGTGTCACAGTGGGGGATGAACTTGTTATACGATGTGCACCTCTTATTTGTTGGACCTGGAGTGTGTTACACAATGAAAGACAGGTATGGGATGTGCACAAGCTAAATAAGTCTATTTCTGGCTTTGAATACAGATTAAACTGTCACATTGCCTAAAGCCAGCAGAGGAGTGCAGCACCTGCCACATACTTCACAAACATTACCACTGTGTCTTGTTAAGTCATGACACAATACAAGATGTATGAAGGCTAATCAGAGGATATAATGCTCTGAATGTAGTACAATCATTTTAGAGACAAAGCAAAGTCCACCAAAATAACAGGAACGCCACTGCACTGCAGAAGCACAGAAGAAATGCAGACCCGGAATGGAATAACCACAACAATGTTTAATAGCCAACAATAATACAGATTTTGACAACTTCCAATAACAGAGAAAAGCTAAAAATTCAAGTGACTGGTGAATAACTATTCATTGCACAAAATAAACTAATAGATTAATAGAACAATGGGGGCAACCCAGTGTTGAAGATAGACTGTATATATTAAGTTGAAATGCACAGCACAACAGTTCAATTCTTACCTATCTGTTTTCTGTACTGATCCACTGGTAACTTGGTCGCACTTGCATCTTTTTTCCCCATGGTTCTTTGTAACCTGGAGAACAATTAGGGGAAACATAAAGCTTAAACAATGTACCAAATATAACTCCATCTTAGAAAATCGGATCTAATGTAATTTGTAACACCACCTGATGATGGGGATCATGATTGGCTTTGTCATTCATGCACACCCAACAAAAGTCAGTTCTGATCAGATGCTACAGTATATTTCCTACATACAGTAAGCACTTGACCCTTCATTAGCTGAAGTCAGACTTGGTCATCGCCATTTGCCTTCACTCTACGTACCTATGGATCCATGCTACGTACTTCTCAGGGAAAGCTGTCATTTAGTGATGTGATTCTATATGGGTTGTCAACAGAGCCTGCTGGGAGTAACTACTATCATCACAGTCACAGAGCTGTCCAAACATTCTCTAAACATCATCTATGACACACGTACAAGTACCTTTTCTATAATCACCGCTGATTAAAGAAAGTATGTCCACATCTCAAACTGTCCCGTCTGTGCGTCGGTCCGCAGAGAAAACAGAGAAAACAGAGAAAACACGGAATCCTCAGTTTTATTGCACTTTGCTCTAAATATCTCTGGACTTGCCAACACCACTGTTTCCGCGTTTAGTTCCTGGTTTACATGTCAACACAAATGATGGACGTGACCGTTGACGAATGAAAAACGAGAACGTGTCGCCTCGACCAATGGCAGTCGAGAAAAGGCGGGACATGAAGATTAACGTCATGTGATGAATACTTCTTCACGTGATGTTACTTCAAGTGGTTTATATTTAATATGTATGTGTCTTTATATCACAGAAAGGGAGGATTAAAAACACCAAATCATAATTAAAGCTAATGATGATGTGTGAGTGTCTAAATACGTGGTTTTAAAGGAGAATAATTATGATAATTATTATTATTAACAAAATCTATTATTGTTATTAACAATAATAATAATATTATCATTATCGTTATTATTGTTATTGTTATTGTTATTGTCATTGTCATTATTATTCCTCCTGTGGACTCACCACACCACCACCTGCAGGAGGATCAGTGAGGGGCTGGTGCTACTGCTATGTGACTTGGCTGGCATCTCTGATTGCCATCCCCCTGACCCAGAAATGGATTAAGGGGTAGTGGATATTATTACTAGCATTATTATTATTTGCATTGTTGTTATTATTATTATTATCACTACTACTATTCAGAAAAATAAAAATAACAATGAATGATCTGTCTGACGGAAGAGAGGTTGCTAATCTGAGCCATCGGCCCCTTTGACAATGCTTCATAACACTTTAGCATTTCATATTCCTTGCAGTCCCCCATCACAGAACTAACCAGGCCTTGCTTTACTTCAGAGATCTGACATGAAAATGACACATTGTTTTTATTATTGCAGAATTTATGACTCCTTAAAAACAGGTACGAAAAATCAACATAGATTGGTTTTAGTTTTAAGTAGCGTCAGAATAAAATAACTACAATCCTCGTGAATGTTGACCTGAAGTTAATGTTTGGGCGCCAGATAACCAGAATTGCCCATTGTGTTTGAAAATGGCAACATTGTATCGTGACAATTAAAAAAAGCAGCAGACGACCTCATCAGACAGAAGGCAATCTCACAGTAAATGTTAATGGCTCTTTCATTAGTCTTGTACACTTTTTCTTTGTTTACTCTGTGCTTTTTATTTCCTGCTAATTGCAGCCAGCCTCATTGCTGCCTGGGGCTCATGCAGAATAAGGGGAGACTTGCCACCACTTGTAACTTATTGAAGTTTAAAATGATTTTCGGCTCTCCCATGGGCACACATTTGCATGTGGCATAGCAGTGTCTAATAGATGTAATCTGCCCATAATGCGCCTGCATAACTCTTTATACGTACTGCACTGAAAGTAATTTCTTTGTAGTGCAGTCACGAAGACAATGATACCAACCAAATAAGATTTACATGACAATGTACATACAGACAGTTCACAGAGCTGTTACCACAAAGCCTCAGTGACGGCCTGTGGATGTTGTCTTAATACGACCATCAAAAGCAGCGTGAGTGTAGTTAATGCACAATTCAAATGCTCCTTGTTATTCACAATGTGTGTAATTCATTTCTCCCGTTGAGTGAAACAAACATGCTGGGCCTGTCACAGTGATAGATATGAAATGCATTAGCCAGAGTGACGGATATATTCCACAGAAAACTTTGTGTTGTATCAGTTAAACAATAAAATGCATGATGGAAGCAAGGTTTTTATCTCTACACCACCAATGTGAGAGAAGTCTGTCCTAAGGACACATCCATTTCAGAACCACAGCCGCTCCAGTGGCCCCTGTTATAATGATCACCCATCCAAGCGCTCACCAAGCTCCACACTGCTTAGTTTCTGAGCTCTGATAGATAAGGCAGTAGCAGCAGCTATACTACATTTATCATCTGTGCAAGGTAATGTTGATAATTATACAATACTTGTGTACCTTTTTACACAAGCATTATACAAGTATACAATCAAAGGATCACGGGTCTATTTTCCAATCGTCTTCATGCAGCAGTTATTCTCTGCTCTCATTATTGATTAAAACAATGATGTATGAGGTTCCTCGTGTGTATTGTATTTTAATTATCTGATTCTACTTGAATCTCTATATTGGAACAACATTTCGAAATATACAGACGCATATTGTGTAGTACACACTGAAGCAGTGGACACAGTGTTTCTGCAGCTTCATATCTCTCCTCTCCAGAGTTCCTCAGAAACAAACGGTCAGAGCTACACAGCATCATGCATCCTTTCACAGAGGGTGAAAGTTGACTGTTTCCAGATATTTGTCGTCAGGTAAAAGGCCTGGCAACACTGTGTACTCGTAATATCAATGCTATAGTATTCCTGATCCTATTGCCCATTCCGTACATAGAAGGGATTTCAGCTTTCTCTAACGTTCTAAGTCACAATACTTTATCCATTACCAGGTCTCAAAGGCAGAAGACCAAGTACAAGTTCCCTAACAACACACTTCTCCAGCTCCTTCAGGGGAACACCTCTCAAGGAAACATCCAGGCATTCGAAACAGACGCCCCAGCCACTCCAGATTGACCCTCTCGACATGAGGTAGCAAGGAATCTACTCTGGAATGCTCCTCTTGCGCGGAATTCTCCCAGCCACTGTGGAGGAAAATAATTGCATTGTTTGTTTCAACGACCTTGTCCTTTTGGTCCCTAATCCAACAATCATTGTCAGTGCAAAACTAAAATACTTTGTTCTGAAATATACCGACATATCCATGCTCACTTCTGCATTAGGTCGGGTTCAGTGCAACAGCTGTGCTCCGATGTTAGCGCAGGTGCTGCAGCTGGCCTTCAGTCTGCTCCCTGTGGACTCCCCCCCTACTGCCCGGCCGCTGCTCTATTTACTCTGGACACCCGTGCGGAGACCCTACTGTGCACTATTCTGGACTGACATTGTTTCTGTTACACCAGACTTACAAACTAGGCTTACCCCCAGGAATCACAAACTCACCCATGTGACTACAAAACCGCAATCATTCACAACACACACACATATGTTTGCACCAATCCCTCGCTGCCTCGGCCGACCACTGAAATTAGGTCCACCCACCGCTGCATGGCTCCGGTGGTTGTCACAAGACAGCTGCAGAGTTTTGACATGTTAATTTGGGCCCTGAGTTGACCTCCAGCTAATTATCCTTCAACTCTGTAAACACTGGTAGCAACAGTTAACACCAATTAATGGCCACTAATCATTGCCAGATGCTGCACCTTGAGTAATGTGACCCACTTCCTCCACTTCTCGCACACACAATTTTGCAGCTGTATAATTTTTGGTACAAGCTATAAACCAATATCGATGCTGTACGAGGGCAAATGTATAAGAAAATACAGAGACGGAAGACGGAGGAAAACGGTCTAACTATGTTATGAATGTATTTTAGTGGATATTAATGTTGTGAATATGGAGTTATTATTAGTTGTGGTACTTCAAAATAGAAGGAAAGTGGAATTGTGTTTTTATAGCTGATTACCCATACATTACATACAATATTGCAGTATAGAACAAATATGAAGTGTGAATAATAGCGCAAATAAGTGTCCTACTGTCCAGAATAAAAGTCCTAAAATGTCTAATGGATGCTGGTTCTCTGTTTGGCATTAAATATATCTTGAATATAACCCATATTTTGAACCAGCAAGCAGAAAAATAAACTCCTTCATGTAATTATATAATAGCAGGATAATTATTCAATGCAAGTAAAAAATATAAAGGGCCTTTCTTTATCTTTTTTCCGCTACAGCATCCAATGTTTGAGTACAAATAAGAGAACACATCTGCAGAAAACACCTTTATTTCCCTCTAAAACTCTGCGTCTTCTTTGTTTGTATTGATTACTCAAGTGCCTACCGCTCGCTGCCTGCCAACTGTACGGTTGCCAAGGGAGAGCGTGAACAAGCGTCTGCCAGCGCTTCCCTCTTTGACGACAGCTGTGCCACATATGCCTGAGATCAATATAAACAAACATGAACGCCGTCACGCACAGGGACGAGGATTGACAGGTATGATTCATCTTCTGCTCTGTTTGTGGGAGGCACCGGTAATGATAAAACAAGAACGATATTTTTCCAACGCGATGGGGTTTGGCTGGGGCGGGTCGTCAAAATCGTTCACCCCCCGAGGTAAGTAGCAGGGCCTCCCATACGACTCCGTGGTGTTTGAAGATTGTTTCCACTGTGCAGATCCACAAGGGTTGTTTACTGTGAGAAAAAGATGAATGAGATGTGGCCGTGCACCGTTTCATGTATGTCAACTGACTGGAGACATGATTGGCTGATTCGTGCCCAGTTATTGATGTTTTAGCATGACACGGTGGAGTTGGTGCAGAGGAGCGGTACGAGACACTGAACCAAAGAAAAGGGAAGTTCTTGAACAGGAGATAGAGGTCATGCTAATGCTCTGGCCTACTCACAGGAGACCAGCTCTGCTCCGGGCTGGAGGGCAACGATAGCCCTGAACGAGCAGCAGAGGCAAGAGGAGCTCCTTGACTAGAACCAAGATGAGGGTTCTTATGTGGCTCTCAAGGAGCCACATAAGAACCAGTAGTTCTTTGTGATTTGGCAAACTAACGTCAATGCCAAATCCCTTTATCATTTTGACATATTCAGCAGTCGTCATCATTAAGATCTTTTCTTGCACAGATAATAGACATACTATACAATACATTGTTACAGTATGATATTATTCAATGTATATCATACTATACTGTAATGTAAGATGACTAAACAAGTGTAAAAACAACATATTGTTCTATGGATCTTTTTTTAACACTTTTGAAGCAACTGTGGATTTTCCTCTTGAATGTTTTGGTTTTCTGAAGGCTGAAGCTCCTGGTGCCGCGGCAGGTGCTGACTGGATTCCTCCATGGTTTATAATCACATGCATTCTGCAAAACTCTGTCCGTGTCTTCTTTACCATCAACAATAAAACATGTCTTGTGACACAATCCCAGACTTTGTCCTTTTTCCTCAGTAACATAAATGTTTCTCTCATTTTGTGGGATAGAAAGACATTTCCACAGCCGATGGTGCTGTAGCCGATGCTGCAGTTGCAGTGGTGGTGTGAATGAAGGTGAAGATGTTACTCTGTAGATACAGAGTTAAGGAGAGAACAGTGAAACAGTGAAACAGAGCAGGTGAGCAGTTTTCTGGTTAAGGCCGGTGCAGATGGAGAACATGGCTCTGTTGCTGTGATGTGTGATTCACTTTTCAGAGATGAATAGGGAGCAGGCCTGATCACAGGGACACTGCAGCTGTGCACAGATAGAGGGGAACATTATAGAAGCCCAGTGATTGATTGGTGCTTAGTTAATGATGGCATTTTCAAACATGAAGAGAATATATCTGAGGCAAATGTATGCAGTTTGGGACTGAGCTGAGCACACATGCCAGAGAGGACAATGGCACTGGGCACAGCGTCCCCTGATGAAGAGTAATGGCTTGAAACAATATTTCCCCACGGAGTCCAATGAGGATCTAAACACTGTGATATGGTTTCATTGCCACACAAATTGGACATGTCACATCAGTTTCAGCTGGGCCGGTGCTGCAGCCGGGAAAAAAACAAAAAACATGGCAACAAATTCATGAGCAATATTCACACACTGCCGAATAGGTTCAGAGCATGCCAAGGTGGAAAGTGGGAATAAAAATGCCTAATTGCACTCCAAATATTGTCAAATCAGTCAGATTATAGGCATGTAAAAGCTTTATTGAAATAGCTGTTTGTATTGCTGGTGTTGGAGCTCAATGGTTGGAATATGTTTTCTTTACTAATTCATTCTCATTTTTAAAAGTAGAATAATGTATCAAACAACACTACATTTTGAAACTATTTTAATAAGTGCTGTGTGTTTGTACAAAATGGGTCATGAAAGAATGGAGCCTTTATTGTTGATCGGACTTCACTGCTTTCCTTAAATGCTTTTAATCAGCGCTTGTCTTATGCAGATATAATCAGTCTGATATTTAGATAAGGCTTGATTGGTGCGTTTAAATCAGGCCCATTGTGTGACAGTGTCAATAACAACAGCCGGGCTCTGCTGGAGACCTGTCACAAATCTGTTTGACAGCTCACTGACAGTTGTGCTGCAGGGAGAGGAGGAAGAGGAGGAGGAGGAGGAGCACCAACTTTTGGAAACATTGAACTTGACATCATTTGAATATTTGTTTTTTCCAATATCCTCTGCATAAAAGTGCATGTGATAGATTTGATTACACAAAATCTTTTACTGCATGCACTGCATCGATCTTTCTACTTTGGATTTTGATATCTGCTGATACCCACGAACAAAATCAGAGAACGGATCATTGAAAGTTTAATGAGGTCTTCCTACCATCATATGCATCTCTGACCATCTCACCTCAACCTGTCCAGTAGTCTATATGTATGTCTACAGACCAACACCCACACACACTGACTTCTCAGCAAGAAGGTCCTGGGTTCAAATCCCGGTCAAAACAGGGTCTTTCTGGGTGGAGTTTTCATGTTCTCCCCGTGCCTGCGTAGGTTTTATCCGGGTCCTCTGGTTTCCCCTACCACTAAAACATGTAGGTAAATCCACAGACCAAGACACACGCACACAGTATATACTGTACACACTGACGATCACATTAAAAGTATAAAGGAGGATTTTCCCAAACTTTAGGAAAAAACCGTCCTCTCCACTTTTTGAACACAACTCTCCGGTCTTATTTATCGAGCACGTATCACCAGAATGATTGACAGTTGGGAGGACCAATGGCCTTGAAGATCCGCCCGGAAGTAGAAAATCATCGTATATACCTTTGAGTAAAGAACAAAAAATCAAATGGGTTACAGGCTCAAAAGCACACAAGAAAATACAAATGTGATATTCTTTGTTAGGCTCGCAATATCAATAGCCGTGGTAAATCACAGTTCTAGTCTACAACCATCTTCAACCATCTTAAATCAGGTCATTTGTGAATATACACAAAGAAGGGTCAAACACAGACCACAAATCTCCCTACGGGGGATAATAAAGTACAACTTAACTTAACAAATTCCATCGGTCACTCATCTGTTCTTGAATGCCAGACTCTGTTTCCGGCCGCGACAATGTCAACGTTGAAAATATTTGTCTCTCTCTTTCTCCACCTGAGTTATTTCCATTCCGGAGCCTGCACTTGTTAAGAGGAAATCTCACATTCTGGTCAGCCGCACCGCTGCTGTGGTGTAGGCCCCAGTGTGATGCCGTTCATTACAGCCCCGGCAGAGCTCCCTGGACTCGTGCTCCGTGGCTAATTGACATGACATTTACAAACATGTACACATATATACTGCACGCACACACTGCCCACGCCGCCGTGAGCTCCACAAAAGCGGACACCGACAGACAATAAGCACCTGTCACCTCTCCATGTATCCAATTAAGAAACGGGAATTTACTGAGCGATAAATTATAAAAATAGATTGAAATACTATCAAAACATGACTTCATCTTTGCCATCACCATTAAAGGAAAGATACATCATAGTAATTCAAATCCTATTAGTCAAAGTGAGATTACTATACCCTTTAAATCAGCCACGAATTAAAACAGGTTTGATAAATGTTAGAGTCAAAGCAACACAGTGAGACTACTTAAATAAATTAGCGAAAGACAGATGTACAACAAAATTAAATACCGCTGATTTAACTGTTAAGAACATTTTAATCAGCGAAATATGCCTTTTATGCTTGTCATTTTGGTTTGGTTTGATTTCTCTTATTTAACTTGTTAATAGTTTCTTCTATTTTAAAGGCTGTACTGTATCTAATGCGGCGCGCTCCGGCCCCTCACTGCTCCTACGTCTGTGACTGATTCAGTATTTCTCTGTTCACTTCAATCACAGGCAAACAGCTAAAGACTGAAGCGCAGCACGCACAAAGAACACTGTTTAGTAAGTGACAAGTACAAGATGTTAAGCTATGAGGCTTTGGATCCACTTTGTGCAAAATTCAACTGTACGATGTCGCCTTGACTAATACTTTCGTTGTAAAACTATTGTGTGCAAATCTCTCCATGGTTAGTGCCAGAAGAAGCAACTCGGACTTTGAGGAGTACAGGGACTGGTCTCCTGCTGGGACCTGAGGAGGAGCACAGGGACTGGTCTCCTGCTGGGACCTGAGGAGGAGCACAGGGACTGGTCTCCTGCTGGGACCTGAGGAGGAGCACAGGGACTGGTCTCCTGCTGGGACCTGAGGAGGAGTACAGGGACTGGTCTCCTGCTGGGACCTGAGGAGGAGCACAGGGACTGGTCTCCTGCTGGGACCTGAGGAGCACAGGGACTGGCCTCCTTTTGGTGCACAGAGTCAGGACTTAACACGGGGAGTTAGCATTTCAGATTCAAACAGCCAAAATCTGGAACAGTCTACCTCTAAACATGAGTATTTACTGTTTAGCTGTGCATACAATAGAACTGATTTATATGCCAAATGTTTAATGTACTGTATTTATGTGGATTATTTTATTTATCTGTGTAATCCTTATAAGATTCAAATGTTTCCTTTATAGTAAGTAAGTAATCTTCATTTATATTCCGCCTTTCACAGACCAGAGTAACAAAGCGGTTTACAATTGTTATTTTTGGGCAATTGTTCTACCACTAAAAGCAAGACACACACACACACACAGTATGTACACACTGACGATCACATTAGAAGTATAAAGGAGGATTTTCCCAAATTTTAGGAAAGAACCGTCTTCTCCACTTTTTGAACAAAACTCTCCGGTCTTATTTGACGAGCACGTATCACCAGAATGATTGACAGTTGGGAGGACCAATGGCCTTGAAGATCCACCCGGAAGTAGAAAATCATCCTATAGACCAGGGGTCCCCAAATGGTGGACCGCGGTTGTCCTCTCACTCCACACAGAGATGGGAGCGGGGTCGCCAGTACAGGAGGCGCACGCAGTCCTATTGTACATGTTTTTAGTGGTAGGGGAAACCAGAGTACCCGGAGGAAACCTACGCAGATACGGGGAGAACATGCAAACTCCACTCAGAAAGGCCCTGGTCCGACCAGGATTCGAACCCAGGACCTTCTTGAGGCGAGAGTGCCATCCACTCAGCCACCGTGCCACCGATGCTGTTGTTATTTTGTAAAGCACTTTGAGCCTATATATGAATTGTGCTATAACAAGACAGGCACACAAACACAAACACACACACACACACACATACACACACACACATCACCATCACTTTAAGCATGCTACTGTACTTGATGTTAATAAAATGGCCCTTATTTGAATTCCGTGCCGCTGCACTGGTCCAAGTGCTGCGTGGGGAGGATGGAGCATGTTGAGGAGAATAATGGTCTGATTCAAACGCCTTAAAGACAGTGTCCTGAGAAGAACATGAAAGGTGCTCCACATCAGAGGGACTCAAATTGGCCCTGGCTCCAATGATTGGCCCAATCAACCTCCAAGCGTATAATTAGTAATTAGATTGGGATTAGAGTCAGCGCTGAGTGGAGGAGCGTGGCCAATTCAAATCAGCATATGAAATGTGATTAAATTAATAAGAGAAAAATTGAAATATTAATGTCCTTTTCCACTGAGTCTCAGTTGAATTTGTTTGAGCTCTGGGTAATTATGGATTCACGTGGAGTGGCAGGTTTGTGGACACTTTTTCATCACAGTATGAGATGTCCTCCAGTGCCAAACAAGATTTGGTAAATTATTTTAGTGTGATCCCTGATGGAGTCCTTTTCAGAGGCAGCAAAACCGTTGCATATTCATACAGTATTCACAAATTTGTCTGGAATTGGCCAAAAAAGTTCTTATCTTTTGTTATTTCAGAAGGGATTTTGAGATATGTTTTTAAGAAGAGCAAATAAGACTGAATAAAATATTGAATGCTCTCAGATCATTGGACAGGAACTGGACACTCTCAAAAACCACAATGAACCAGAAAGATAAGATGAGAGACATTTACATCAGACATTTGGCATAAATTGGATCACTCGGCTTGTGCAAAAAAAAGAGGAAATGTGCAAAGCAACAGGACATGTGCAACAGAGGTCTTTTACAGTATATACAATTCAAATTAAAGTAGTCCATTCTGTCACATGGTGAGATGATGGAGGACTCAAATGCAGGAATGCAAAAGAATGATTTAATAAAATAAAAGTCCAGGTGAAAAATTAAAAACTGACTTTTGCAGTGTAAGTTTTCAGTCCTAGTGCAGGTTATTAAGTGACTGCAGCCAATGGATCTGAAGACTTCTTATGAACCGTAAAGAATATTTCAAAAGTACCATATCCTAGAGTATTGGTCAGAGATAAGCTGTATATTTCTCTCTACAACACTGCATCGTTGTGTAGAGCTGTGTCTGTTTGCTGTGTGCTCCCTCTGGCCTCAGTGATTCTCTCAGACAGAAAACTTACACTTCTCCACAAGTTTGAGAGTGAGTTTTCTACAGTGGGTCTGCAGTCAGGAGGTCAGCAAACTTCCTCTGGACTAATGGACTCTGACACGGGAGCCACATGCAGCCGGACAGACACTGATTGAGCCTCTTTGATCAAAACCGTAGGAGCCGCAGATATTTTACAATCAGCCTCCCTTTAAGTCCTGGTAACCACTGTGAGCAGACTGACCATTTGTGTCAAAAGTTGCAGTATGAGTGGTGCTTAGGCATTAAAAGAATTAATCCTTAACAATATACCTGTCATTACAAGTGGGATTTTTGTACAATTTAATAGGCACACTGACTAAAGGGGTTCTTGTGAAGCTGACAACCATTCATTTAAAAGGGGCAGGTATTTCTCCATAGCTATTAAGATCTAATTTATAATTTGTCTCAATCTCATTATTTAAACTTTAGTGCTTCTAAAATTAAACGCGCCAACGACAGATATTGTGGCTTTGAAGTTGTATTCAACCAGGAATTATTTGGAGGTTCAAAAAAAAACTAAAATTACAATTTAATTCCATGTTTTCAGAGCAAAAAATTATTTTGACTGTGCGGAAAAATGAGTCCCCTAGCTATTTAAAGGAGAAATATTATGCACTACTTTTGGCCTCTAATAATTACAGACATATGATCCTAAAGAACGCAATTTCACCAGAGAAAAAACAGAAAGCTTGATCTGAGCGTGATGTCATAGTGGTACAATGACATCATACTATTACAGAACGGAGACAGAAGGGGCGGAGTTACGCGTTTGTGCCAGAAGTTCCTGATATTAGTGTGGATGGATCAAAAAACCACTCTAGGTTTGTTTTTGACAAGTGATGTTATAACATGATTAAAAGCTCAAAAATGCTCAAAAATATTTCCTTTCACTCATTGACAGCCAGCCGTTTTTGATGATTTCACTGATTCTCAAGACCCACAGAATATTATGTGCTATGACTATGAGAAATATGAAACCAGATTCTGAAAGACTGAATTGTCTACTTTCATCAGCAAAAATAAGTTTGTTTCTTGCTATTTTTGTTGTCCTGTAATCCCCAGTCAAATAGAGGGTCTCAGACAAAAACGTCAATGGCAGTCAATGACAATGTGGAGGGAGAATAGCCAGGTAATCAAGAGTAAATACTTAAAATACTGTACTGTTTGTTACTGTCTTTACATTTCGTCATGGAGACCCCTGAATGTAAACCTGTGCAAGCCGCCGTCATGCTCCTCAGAGACCTGGGCTCCAACTCGTGTGTTCAAATATTGAAAAGGAGGCGCAGCAGAGCGAGCGGCTGGTGCAACATGTACGCGCTTGTGCTCGCCACGTAACTCCAGGATGTTGCACCAAAATACGAGCTACACTGAAATGATGGGATCGAAACATACAGACTTAGTTGGAGTTTTAGTGCAAATATGAAAAGGTTTATCAATGTAATATATATTTGTCTTCTTGATTTGTATGAGTGTAAAATAAAGGCATAATATGGTTTGATGTTGCCGACATATTTGTGTTGAAACTAAAATATATCCACCAGCTGTCTGAAATACATCTATTAAAAGTTGAAATTTCATTGCTTTTCCAGAAATATTTCACAGTATGACATGAAACTCTCTCCATGGGGGCAAGCAGACAGCCGGCCAATTATACAGATCTGTGAAGAAGCGACTCACAGTCAGGAATTTCAAGTATACCATACTATTTTGAACAAGATAGCACGGGGCAGATGTATTGCTGCGACGGTTGCTAGGGAAAGCATCTTAGGCTCATTTCTGGATTTACAAAGACGATTATTTTAAACCCAAAATATTGAGTGCGACAGAAACGGATAATGAGCTTTACTTTCAATGTACAGTAAGTCAAAGGGAGTCAGAGAGAGTCGGAGCCAAACCTTCGTCCATGATTACTTCCCTATTGTGTTCCATTGAGCTGGGGGGTTAGCATTGTCACGGCATGGGTGTCAAAGTCAAGGCCCGGGTGCCAGATCCGGCCCGAAAATGAACCATCTCGGGCCCTGGGATGATACTTGATTAGAATTAGAACCGGCCCTATCAGAGCCAGAAGAAAATATTGGATTATTAATTTAATGTTCAGGACATGTGTTTTGAAGGAAGTTTGTTTTTGAGGCTGTTGAAAAAAAAATCACTTGAAATTAGTGTCAGAGCAAAATATTGGATTGTTCATTTAATCATTAAGAAAAATACGGTACACTGTGTTAGGTCTTGGTTCAACTTTGAACCAGTCCGGCCCTCGGCTTGTAGCAAATTAGGTTTTTTTGGCCTTCCAACGTATTTGACATTGACATCCCTGGTCTATGGTATGTAACAAAAAAAAACAAGAAAGAAAACAATGTGGTTCATAACTATGTATCCTGCACAAGCACAGATATAAAGACTGTTGTTTCAATCCAGACCAGATACAGAGTGTTTTGTCCAAATGTTATCTTCAAGAAAAAAACATGAAAGCATCCCGCGTCCTCAAAATGTGTCCTACAGCACTTCAGACTTCACAGCGTCTTGTCAACACTTGATACAAGATTACAAACTCCAGCACGACTCCCATCTCACATTTTTATTACATTACAATCTACGCAAATGGAATGCCTTGATCTGAACACCATAAGCAGTGTGTCATTTTCTGTTTAAATACATAAGAGCTTTTATCGCAGCCCGTTTGATGATGGGTTTATTGAGAGCGAGTGATTCTTGGCAAAGGTTTATATGATGTTTTATTAATGAAGATGCGTGTTCAGCGGAGGGAGCGGCTAGAACAACAACTAGTGCTTATGGGACTTCAATGCATTAAAATGTATGATACAGGGGACTGAGTCAGGCTGTTACCTACAGCAGGAACAGATGAGTAAACACCAGAGCACCTTTATGAATATTGACAGACGTCGGGATTTACGGATGGCCAAGGAAGCATATGGGGAGTCAGCTTTCAAAGGCTGCAATACTGTAAAGAATTGTTTTATTTGAATAATTTAGATCTACTTTCTAAAGCTGCTCTGATGAACTTGCACAGCGGGAGAAGGTACATATTTGACATCACACGTTTGCCTTTGATCCGCTGTCGTCACGGTAACACTACAAAATGAATATGTTTGATTTATGAAGTCGTGGCTTTGATGTTATATTTAGGAAGACATTTCCTGATGGGCAACTTTGTATTGTTTTCATATTAAACTGTCCATCTGCTCCTTTGATTTCGCTTCAGTATCGCAGGTCTCTGAATACTTTTGACGCAACCTATAGCATTCCCGTTTTCAGAGCTATTGTGAAAATGCTCTCACGATGAAAACATATTCAAAATCAGTACAGGAAAGACTCAATGCATGACGTCTAAAACAACAATATTTTCATTCAAAAGACACAATTTACAGGATAGAACAAACACAATCTACATAGTCATTTCTGATTCTGCCTTATGCCTAGCGTACATCGGACTAGGAACTGATTATATCCGTCGCCTATGAGTTTCTGCCCCGCACACATCGATAATCTGGCGAAAACGGGCAACTCGTAGTAGCAGGCCAGTCTCGGGAATAACAGCACGTACGTCGACAGCAACTGGCCTCAACTAGAGACCAAAGAGAGAGACCAGAGAGAGACCAGAGAGAGAGACCAAAGAGAGAGACCAGAGAGAGACCAGAGAGAGAGATCAGAGAGAGAGAGACCAGAGAGAGAGACCAGAGAGAGACCAGAGAGAGACCAGAGAGAGAGATCAGAGAGAGAGAGAGACCAGAGAGAGACCAGAGAGAGAGACCAAAGAGAGAGACCAGATAGACCAGAGAGAGAGATCAAAGAGAGAGAGACCAGAGAGAGAGACCAGAGAGAGACCAGAGAGAGACCAGAGAGAGAGATCAGAGAGAGAGAGACCAGAGAGAGACCAGAGAGAGAGACCAGAGAGAGACCAGAGAGACCAGAGAGAGAGATCAGAGAGAGAGAGACCAGAGAGAGAGACCAGAGAGAGACCAGAGAGAGAGACCAGAGAGAGACCAGAGAGAGAGATCAGAGAGAGAGAGACAAGAGAGAGAGACCAGAGAGAGACCAGAGAGAGAGACCAGAGAGAGAGACCAGAGAGAGAGAGACAAGAGAGAGAGACCAGAGAGAGAGACCAGAGAGAGACCAGAGAGAGAGATCAGAGAGAGAGAGACCAGAGAGAGAGAGACCAGAGAGAGAGACCAGAGAGAGACCAGAGAGAGAGACCAGAGAGAGACCAGAGAGAGAGATCAGAGAGAGAGAGACCAGAGAGAGAGACCAGAGAGAGACCAGAGAGAGAGACCAGAGAGAGAGATCAGAGAGAGAGAGACAAGAGAGAGAGACCAGAGAGAGACCAGAGAGAGAGACCAAAGAGAGAGACCAGAGAGAAACCAGAGAGATGGTCTGCGCAATACGTCACATGATAACACTCTCAACACATGTTGTTGGAGCGCGCACATCGGGTGATATCTCCGGATCTGAGTACAACTAGTTGCCGAAAAGTAGAACACGGACAACTGACTGAATCCGGAGATCGACTGTTTATCTCCAGTTGTAAGAGCGCTCACATCGACCGATTTCGGCAACTGATCATCTCCCATCATCTACTCTCAGTTGCCAAAAGCCGCCTTGCAACTAGTTGTCTCCAGTTACTCTGTTGATGTACGCTAGGCCTTATTGTACTTAGTCTTCATCTAATCGTATATAACTCCTGGATTCTCATGGCTGGTTGTGGTCTTCATCCAAAATAACATGTCAGGTTTCTGCCCCGTGATGAGATGATTGTGGACAGAAAAACACAGGAATTTAAAAATAATCATTTAAGGGTGACAATAAATAAAAGTCCAGGGTGAAAACAACCTCAGAAATCCAAAGACAAAGGACAATGGACCAGCAACAAGAGGAGAGGAGCACAGGTACTTATAGACACAGAAAGACAATCAAGACAGGAGAACAGGACAAACTAAAAACCAAACCAACTGAGAACTGAGAAAATAACAAAATCCACACCATGGCAGTTTCAAAGCTACACACCCAAAAAGGAGTATCTTTGAGGTTGAGCATCAAATAAAAAAAAAAAAACACTAATAATCACACAAAAAACAGCAACATTTTCACACTTATTCAGAATTCATTCGTATATAAGAAGTGAGGAAGTGGTAAATGAGTTCCTAGTTTACTACATGTTTTAATTCATAATGAATGCAGTTGTAGGAGATAAGAGAGGGGTTAGTGAGTGTGTGTGTGTGTGTGTGTGTGTGTGTGTGTGTGTGTGTGTGTGTGTGTGTGTGTGTGTGTGTGTGTGTGTGTGTGTGCGTGCGTGTGTGTGTGTTTTGTTGGGGGGTAGTTTTGATTCTTTTTTTGTGTATAATAATGCTTCGATCAACTCTTTAAACCTTCTATCATATTTATTTTTCCGGTGAATATTTTTTGTTCAGGTGAATGTATATCTTGCGCACGTTTGAAATAAATACACAAATGAATGAAAAAGAGCAAGTTGCTGTGAAAAGTTTGTGAGTTTTCAACGTTTACCTCTGTGTCCTTGCGTCTCTGAAGAAGTGTTTGTCTTGCAGATGTTGTCATGCATATCAGTTGTTGCACGAGCATTGATCAGCCTGGAAAAACTGTGGAATACAGAGAGCCTTTTGGGATTGGAAAGGGCAGAGCAGTATAACCTCCACAGACAGATGCTCTCAGCAGGAGACAGCGACAGCAGCGGAATAAAGAGTGAAAGAATCTTATCTGTGCACATAGACACACACACACAAAATGGCGTTGAAACTTTCTTAAAAGTTGTTCACTATCTCCACAAATGGTCATTACAAATTTGAAAAGTGTGGCAAACTCATTGAAAGCATGGCCGCCTCATATGTGTATTTTTTCCCAAATTAATATTTTTATGTTATATGTAAACCGCCCTAGCCTGGTCGTACCACACCATAGTACAAATTACATTTCGTACTAAGGTCTGGAGGTGCTACATTGAGCTCCGTTAACAGCTGGGAGAGGTTAACTCCTTTTGCAGATTGAAACGATTGGATCTGAGTTTACCGTGACGTATTGCTCTTGAGTGAGTTGTTAGCATTTAGCCTAGCCATCTCCTTTACCACTAAACTACAACTAGCCCGTTCGACGCAAACTCTTGACGTCACCCACATCTAACTACAACACCCGCCTCCTGCGCTCGCTGATTGGTCGGATGGAATTCAACCGATGTAATCACAAACACAGGGACCAGACCCAGACGTTACATGCGGTGAAATGATGATTGACCGGAGTGTACGGATGGCTAAGGCCTGGCTAAAACTGCCCGGGTGGTTCCACACAAAAAATCTGCTTGTAATCC